GTGCTGCAGAACAGGAACCTGCTGTAAAACAGCAATTATGCTGAGTCAGGCTTGATTTTTAATGATCTTTTCCTGTTAAATAAATAAATCAAATCAAATCAAATATTGCAGCAAACRGATAATATCCATTAATATGTTTTTATTAGTAAAGACCTGCATGAAAATAAGCCATTTTCTGCCTTTTTGCCTTGAAACAAGTAATTTATATATTTATCTAGCTACCTGAGAGAAAATAAAAATAACACAAACTCAGTCAATCTTTGATATATAGAGCTAAAATTCAGCCAGGTGATAGCCGAGAGTCGTTTTTAACATATACTGTGAGCTYCAACAAATCATACAAAGTCTCACAATATCGCGCACGATTGCATGTGAATATTTACAAGGTTTGATCAAAGCAGCTGCAGCTTCTCATCATRAGATCGTTTTCGCTTAAAAGGTGAAAATCATCCTTCAAGAAGTGCTGAGTTTAGACCATTTTATTACAAGCTTTTAAACTCTGAAATCTCTGAAGACAAAATATTTCACACAGTCGTCTTTTTTTTTTTTTAATCGGTAAGTCATCCACTTCATCCTATTAACACAATATTGCAACTGTTCTGCTGAGACTGCAGGAAAAACACACATGCAGCCAAAAAAAAGGTGGGGGGGGGAGTCCCCAATCACGGGAAACTCAGTCAGCAAACCTCCTGTTGTACGACAGCAGGCTCTGATTAGGAGCGGTCACACATGAGCTGCTGAAGTTAGTCTTTAACGTGAATCACAGACCTGCAGACCTGCAGACCTGCAGACCTGCAGCACCGTTACAGCTGAGGAAGAGAAACCCAACGCCTGGAGGTGGAGAGGTGAGGAGAAAAGATTTAATGAGCTGGAGATGAAGAGAGAAATCAAGCCAGRACAATAAAGCAGATTATTATTGAAAACAACAACATACATCAGTGTAGCTGCTGTTAATGATACCACCGATACAKAAAATGCTCCAGAATCAAAACTAAAACCAAAATATCCATACTTTAGTCATTACAGGTAATATAACGATTAACAGGAACACTGTGGAAAAACTCAACTATTGAAATCTTGTCTAAATTAGATGCAGTTGGAGGGAACTACTTTTTCTTCCACCTGGGTAATGCCTGAGCACAGCTGTACTCAGTCTGTAGATACATGTTCACTTTTTTCATACAGTAYTAACATGTTCATGTAAACAGAGCTTTATACTAACTAAGTACATTTATTTTGTTACAGTACTTAAGTCATTTTTGAGGGTTTGAATTTATTTATTCATTTATTTATTTATTTATTTGTTATTTTACTTTTTTCATTACATTTAAAGTGTCTGTGACGTGCCTATCAATCGATTACAAAAAGTCAAAGAAAACACATTTTTAGGA